AAAAAAGACCAGGAACCACCAACCGTCCACTCAGTTCAATGCACCGTGTGGTAAGTCCCCCTGCCTCTGGCCGCTCCTCCGTTCCCTCTGCCTCCCAGGCTTTCTGTCCATAATAGCAGCTACATCAGGGACCTCCTATCCGTTCCGAGTGCGTGGGGTTCCGCGGAGACGGCCCGGACACCCCCCACACTATCCGTCCATCCAGTGACCAGAGATTGAGTTGCGAGACATCAATTCACATCTCTGATCACTCTGGGACTGAGGTCGACCATGGGCAATCAGGAATCTCCACCAAAAACACCTCTAGGGTGTCTCATTTTAAATCTCTCAAAAACAGATCCCTCCCTAAAGAAGAAACTGTTCTTCTCCACTGTGGCCTGGCCACAATACCCACTGGACAACCAGTCCAGATGGCCTCCTCAAGGTGTTAGCTCTTAACTTTCATATTACTGTCCCAAACCTCTCATTCCAAGAAACCAAAACCCATCGCTCTTATGGTTTAACCTTGCCCTAAATGTCTCATTCCAGAAAACTAAAACCCATCACTCACCCTGGCCGGTTTGGCTCAGCGGTTGGAGTGTTGGCCTGCGGACCAGAGAGTCCCGGATTCGGTTCCCGCTAGGAGCACGTACAAAATTAAAATAAAATTAAAAAAAATAAAACCCATCACTCCAGTCAGGAGGAATGGAATGATGGAACCGCCCTAACCCACTGAAAACTGCAAACAATTGCTTGACAAGAAAAACAAGTTTCAGGAGACCCCAGCCCCCGATCAGCTGAACAACCACCCACCCCCCCAGCCCTGAGTTTAAAAATTCCTAGTCTGTAAGAGCCGGTTGCTACTCTCTCCCTAGAGGTAGTCCTGCAGGCTGATTCCCAATAAACCTGCACTCCTGGAGACCCTGCACCGCCTCGTTTCGCCTCATTCTTACAAAAGGGACTTTCGATTTTACCATACTCACCGACTTAGGGAAATTTTGCCAAAGAAATGGGAGATGGTTGGAAATTATATATATTCAGGCTTTTTGGTATTTGCGATCCCATCCTAACTGTGCCTCCTATTATATGGCACAGGTCCTCCTAGCTAAAGACACCCCCCCAGACCCTCCGCTCCTGACCTCTCCTCGTTTGCTGACCCCCCCAGAGGAATTGTCCTTACCTCCTATTCAGCCTGATCCCTCTCTTAACTCTCCTCCACCTTATCCTGACCCATGGGCCTCTAACCCTCCTCCGCCCTCCATCTCGACTCCCACTCTCCCCTCCCCTGTTAAGTGCCCACACACGGTCAAATCATGATCCACGGGAAGGAGCTGACCTCCTCTGCCCTCTCCATGAGGTAGCAGGAGCAGAGGGACTTGTGCAGGTCCGTGTCCCGTTCTCTCTCTCTGATTTATCCACTATTAAAAAGCGTTTAGGATCTTATTCTACCAATCCCACAGCCTTTATCAAAGAGTTCAGATATCTCACTCAGACTTATGACCTTACCTGGCATGATCTCTATGTCATTATGTCCTCTACCCTCACCCCCGATGAACGCGATTGGATCCGAACAGCAGCATGAGCCCATGCAGACCAGATGCATCTTATAGATGACCAGATGCCCATCGGGACTCAGGCAGTCCCCAAGGCAGATCCCAATTGGACTTATCAAGCAGGGCAGGACGGTAGAGGAAGATGAAACCAGATGTCCAGTGCCTCTTGGCAGGCATGCAGAGTGCAGCCCAAAAGGTAGTTAACTATGACAGACAAGAGAAGTCACTCGCCCTGGCCGGTTTTGCTCAGTGGTTAGAGCGTTGGCCTGCGGTGCCAAGAGACCTAGGTTCGGTTCCCGCTAAGGGCATGTACCTCGGTTGCAGTTTGTCCCTGGCCCTGGTTGGGGTCATGTGGGTGGCAACCATTCGATGTGTCTCTCTCTCTCTCTCTCTCCCTCCCACTCTATCTAAACAAAAAATGGAAAAATGTCCTCGGGTGAGGATAAAAAAAAAAGAGAAGTCACTCAGGAACCTGATGAGAACCCACCTCTATTTCTAAACCACCTGACGGAGACTATGGTTCTCCACACCTGACTAGACCCTGCCTCTGGAAATGGAAGGCCAGAGGAGAAATTGAAACCCAACTCCGAAGGCTCTCCCTTACCCGGATGTGGCTGAGGTGACACTCCTGGTCACATCCCACCACCCTTCCCAGACAATCAACATAGGCCACCTTCGAATCTCCCAAGCAGCTAGTCAGTCACCTGATGCCACATCTAATCAACCCACCCAGGTCGCTAACGTCTCTATAAATCTTCCCCTGGTGAAAGTAGCAGCACGACTTCCCTAACCCCCACCACATGGACCAGTGAACCTCGCCTGGGATGCTTAAATAAAACTTTTGCCCGCCTCTGTGGCTCTGATTCTCTTTCTTCCTCGGTGAGATACCTTACAAACACTTGGTCTTGTAACAATAAAATCACAGACACAATGGTCCACGTCAGAAAATATCAACAGATGCACATACATATGGATGCTATATACAGTGACTCCATACCTATGTCAGAAAGTAGAGTAGAACATTTTCATTTTTTAAATGTTTTCATTGATATTTTTCAGAGAGAAGGGAGAAATAGAAAAATCAATGTGACAGAGAAACATCAATTGGCTATCTCCTTCATGCCATTAAACTCCACCCTACCGGGGATGGAGCCTGCAACGTCAGAATGTACTCTGACTAGAAATCGAACCAGGACCTCTCACTCAGTCCATGGGCCTACGTTCAACCCAGTGAGACACACCAGTTGGGCTTGAGTACATTTTCCAATATCGATTTTCTATAATAATTGTGATCTTGTGGATGGGCACATGATAGGAACTGATATTTACCAGCTTGAAGAAATCCAGCACAGAACAGAAATAAAGTCATAAACTGTGGGTTTAATTTTAATCTCTGCTTAAGTGAAATCCCTGGATATTTTGGCGATGGCTTGGAGAACACTCCAGGGATAATATGAATAGACATACCTTTGGTCATGCTGTGAACATGGAAAATAAGTTTGCATCCACAATCATAAAAAATATTTCAACCCAACAGCTGCCATGGCCCCTGGGGTTCCTCCAGGAAAAAATGGCCAACAGTTGGCTACATGCTATTAGCTGACAATAAAACCTGTTTTAACATGGGCTGATTCCACTCCTGTAAAGAAGTTCATGAGGTAGCGTGGAGAAAATCTTCAGGATTCCCATGAAAACTGGGCAAGGAAAGATCATCCCAATGATCATGTGCACACATGCCAATTGGTTATATTCCAATAATTAATATTCACATTGAAAACTAGAGGGTTCAGCAGAAACCATGAGTGGTGGCCTACCAACTCCGTGGAAAATATAAAGCAAAATATCTGACAAATTCTGATGAGACTCACTGCAAGAGGAATCTTCCAAACGACTGAGCAGAAACTACACAGGCTTGCATGGCTGAAGTGGGAGAGAAAAAGCTTTAGATGCCGTGAACATAACATTGCCAAATAAGGTATTGTTACCTATGACCTTGAATAAGGTTGGATACATGAACACATCCAAAGTCACTCAGGTCTATTAATGAAAATCGTGAGTTCACACATAGTCTAAATAAACTATGAAAAATAACAGCATAACCATTTGTCAGCAGAAAGTCCCTGTCTGGTTTGGCTCTGCGAACTAGAGAGTCCTGGGTTCAGTTTCTGCTAAGGGCATGTACCTTGGTTGTGGATTGTGTCTGACCCAGGCTGGGGTCGTGGAGGTGGCAACCCTCTCACATATGTTTCCCTCTCTCTCTCTTCCTGCCAATCTATCTGAAGATAAATGCAAAAATGTCCTTGGGGGGGATTAAAAAAAAAACCTGTTCCCTGGCTGGTTTGGTTCAGTGGTTAGAGCATCGACCTGCGGTCCAGACAGACACAAATTCGGTTCCCGCTAAGGACATGTACCTCGGTTGCAGTTTGTCCCTGGCCCTGGTTGGTCATGCGGGTGGCAACCACTGGATGTGTCCCTTTCACATCGATGTTTCTCGCTCTCTCTCTCTTCCTCTCTCTCCTTCCCACTCTATCTGAACAAAAAAATGGAAAAATGTCCTCGGGTGAGGATAAGAAATAAAAAATACAAAACCTGTGACCTGAATGGCTCCATGGCTGCTTCAGCATCTGCAGGCAATTGCACAAGCTGATCACGGGAAGTGATGGGGGCGGTCAGAGCCTGAGCTCAGACCTCCGGATGGGGGCAGGGCTTCTCTTCAGTGTGAACTCCCTGATGTTCAGTGTTTGAAACACTGGCTAAAGGCTTTGTCACATTTCCTACACGGTAAAGCTTTCCTCCACCATGGATTCTCTGATGTTCAGAAGTTTTGAGAAGAGGATAACGGTTCTACCACCTTCTTTGTATTTGTAAGGTCTCTACAGTATGATCCTTCTCAAGTACATTAAGACATGAATGTCTTTTGAAGCCTTTCCCACACTTTTCACAAACATAGGGCTTCTTCCCAGTATAAATGTTGAGTGAGTTCTCCATGCTGGTAAAGGATTCCTACTCTCCTTACATCTGTAGGATTTCTCTCAAGTATTTTTTTTTTTCTTTATTGATTTTATTTTATTTTATTTATTATCCACACCCGAGGACATTTTTTGATATTTTGTTCAGATAGAGTGGGAGGGAGAGAGAGAGAGAAACATCGACGTGAGAGGGACACATCGAGTGGCTGCCACCCACACAACCCAACCAGGGCCGGGGACAAACTGCAACGGAGGTATGTGCCCTTAGCGGGAACTGAACCCGGGTCTCTCGGGACCGCAGGCTGATGCTCTAACCACTGAGCCAAACCGGCCAGGGCTTCTCTCAAGTATTAACTCTCTGATGTACAGTAAGGTGGAAACACTGGTGAAAGTGTTTGTCATATTTTCTACTAGTATCAAGTTTCTTTCCAGTGTGAGATTTTTGATACTAAGTAAAGTCTGAGAACTAGCTAAAGAAGTTACAACATGCTATGCATTTCTAATGTCTCTCCCTTCTATGTATTCTCTGATGGTCAGTAAGGGTTGAAGTCTTCCTGAAGGTTTTCCCACATTCCCCACATTTATAAGGCTTCTCTCCAGAATGAACTCTCTGGTGATAAGTAAGGGTAGAGGCAACACTGAAGGCTTTGCCACATTCTCTACATTTGTAAGGCTTCTCTCCAGTATGAATTCTCTGATGCTTAGTAAGGTTTGAGGACTGACTAAAGGCTTTGCCACATTCTATACATTTATAAGGCCTCTCTCCTGTATGAACTCTGAGATGTGCAGTAAGGGCTGAGGACTGGCCAAAGGCTTTGCCACATTCTATGCATTTGTAAGGTCTCTCTCGAGTATGTGTTCTCTGATGGTCAGTAAGGGTTGAGGACTTCCTGAAGGTTTTGCCGCATTGACTACAATTATAAGGCTTCTCACCAGAATGAACTCTTTGATGATAAGTAAGGGTTGAGGCCATACTAAAAGCTTTTCCACATTCTCTACATTTATAAGGCTTCTCTCCAGTATGAACTCTCTGATGTCGGGTAAGGCTTGAGGAGTGGACAAATGTTTTGCCACATTCTCTACATTTATAGAGCTTCTCTCCAGTATGAACACTCTGATGTCGAATAAGGTTTGAGGACTGACTAAAGGCTTTGCCACATACTATACATTTGTAAGATATCTCTCCTGTATGTATTCTCTGATGGACAGTAAGGTATGAGGACTGGCTGAAGGCTTTGCCACATTCTCTACATTTATAAGGTTTCTCTCCAGTATGAATTTTCTGATGCTCTTTTAGTCTATAGGACCGCCTGAAGGCTTTGCCACATTCTCTGCATTTATAAGGTTTCTCTCCAGTGTGAATTCTCTGATGAACAGTAAGATGTGAGGACTGGATGAAGGCTCTCCCACATTGTCTACATTTGTAAGGTCTCTCCCCAGTGTGAATTCTCTGATGGACAGTAAGTCTTTGTGACCGGTTGAAGGCTTTGCCACATTCTCTACATTTATATGGCTTTTCTCCAGTATGAACTCTCAGATGTTTACTAAGGTAGGAATACTGGTTGAAGGCTATGCCACATTGTCTACATTTATAAGACTTCTTTCCACGATGAATTCTCTGATGTTTAGTAAGGCCTGAGGAATGTCTAAATGCTTTGCCACATTGTCTACATTCATAAATGTCCTTTCCAGAGTGAAGCCTTTGATGGTGAATACGAGCTCCGTAGTGGCTGAAGGCTTTGCCACATTCTCTACATTTATAAAGCTTCGCTCTAATATGAAATCTATGATGTACAGTAACGCTAGAGGCCTTACTGAAGCCTTTGCCACATTCTCTACATTTCGATGGTTCTTCTCCAGGATGAACTCTCTGATGTGGAGTAAATTCTGAATGGCAGTTAAAGGCTTTGCCACATTCTGAACAATTATAAGACTTCTCTCCTGCAGAAATTGTTTGATGTTGAGTATGTTTTGAGCACTGACTAAATCCTTTTCCACATTCCCTACATTTGTACAGTTTTCCCCAAGTAAGAATTCTCTGCTCATGTACAGTAAGACATGAATGAAATCTAAAGGCTTTGCCACATGTTTTACATTTGTAAGGCTTCTCTCCAGTAAGAATTCTCTGATTGAGAGTAAAAACTGAAAGACTATTAGATGTTTTACCACCATCTTTACATTGATGAGGTTTTTCTCCAATATGGATTCTTTTAAGTCTATTTATACTGAATGTTTTACTGGAGACTCTGTCACATGGATTCCATTTGTAATCCTCCTTACCAGTATGAATACTCTCTTGTTCAGTGTGGTTTGATGACTGCTTCAAAGATTTGACACATTTACTTGGTTTGTTTGTCTTCTCCACAATATGAATAACCTGATGTATACTGTGACTTGACATTTGGTCAAAGACTTTCCCACCTTTATAATCATTCTCTGGAAGCTGACTTCTCTGAGGAATATTCGAGTTTGACTCCTGCTTAAAGTTCTTCCAATGTTCATTCAATTGATAACCTCTGTCGCCATTATATGTTCTCTGGTAATCATTAAAGATAGAAAGGTATTTAGTCACAGCTGTAATTTCATTAAACATGTATTGTTCCATAAAATCTATTTTGTGATACTTTTTAAACCATGATGTTTGTATAAAAAAACTCTCCCAAGTTTATGAAAATTGTAGATAAATTTTTAAAAACACATTAATTCTCAGAGCAAGAAATATGATTCCTTATAAAAACATTGTCAAATTGATAACATTAAAATTTTTATAGGTATATTATAAATCTCTGCATTTTTTAAATAATCAACTGAAAGTTTAATCCCACCTACATTTTAAACAATTTGAATGATTATTCACACCACAGATTATGTGAGTTCCAATATTTCTAGAATTACTTTCCAAGAATATATGAGTAAAAAATGGTTTTCAATCTTTACATGTAGGAACACAGTAAACTGAAAATGTAACTGACTTTAAAGTGATAGTCTTCCCAAATCTATTACATCCTTGACCTCCTTAAATAACAAGAATTTTATTATAAATAATTTATCCTATGTTAGTTCTGTTTATATTAACATCTTTCTTCGCATCACAGTCTTCCTCAAAAGCAAACCATTTCATTAAGTGTTCATTATCAAAGCCGCACCATCCATATCTTACCAGTCTTATTTCTGAGAATAAGTCTCGTAGTCCAGGTTTTCGCAAAAAGGCCTGGTTGTATCCAGATGACATGGCTGAAAGAAAATAAATTTTCACAGGTTTGGCACTTACTTGAATGTACTATGAACTTACCATAAATTACTTGACCAAATTACAGTTTTTTGTACTCCAAAAGCAAGTGAATAGTTCCAAGACAGGTACAATGAGAAAAAGTCACATCTAAGAGGGAAAAATGATGCTTACATTTGCCAAGGATACCTGCTCAACCCCCCTGGCACACACACAATGGAAATACAAGAATACTCCTAATTCCCAGTTTCTTCTCTGGAAAAGTAGAGGCGAAGGCACATATGTTCAGTGATCTCGCTGTTTGGAAATGTCTCTAGGGCTATGTTTCTACTGTATATGACAGAGTGGTAAAGGAATGGCAGTACAGTGAATGCACTGTAGTGGTTACTACAAAGAAACAATGAGAAACAGTTCAAACTCTACAAAGACTGCAGTACTTCAGACATATATTAAGCATGAAAAGATACCATGGCTCGGCCTGGTCGGTTTGCCTCAGCCGTGAGAGCGGCAGCCCTTGGACCAGAGAGTCCCGGGATCAGTTCCTGCTAGGGGCATGTACCTCGGTTGCAGGTTGTCCCCAGTCCCAGGTGAGGTCATGTGGGTGGCAACCGGTCGATGTGTCTCTCTCACACTGATATCTCTCTCTCTCTCTCTTCCATCCTGTTCCCTCCTGCTCTATCTGAAGAAGAATGCAAAAATGTCCTCGAGTGAGAATTAAAAAAAACAAAAGAGAAAAGTTCCCAAACCTGGTGAAAGACATAAACATACTACTGCAGGCAGCACAAAGAGTCCCTAAAAGAGGAAACAAGAGACCCACCTCACCCTGGCTTGTTTGGCTCAGCTGGTTTGGCAGAGCATCGTCCCGCGGTCCAGAGAAACCTGGGTTCGGTCCCCGCTAAGGGCACTTACCTTGGTTGCAGTTTGTCCCTGGCCCTGGTTGGGTTGTGCAGGTGGCAACCACTCGATGTGTCCCTTTCACATCGATGTTTTTGTCTCTCTCTCTTCCTCCCACTCTATCTGAACAAAGTATGGAAAAAATGTCCTTGGGTGAGGATTAAAAAAAAGAGACCCACCTCAAAACACATAATTAAAATGTCAAAGGTGAGTGATCTGGTGTGGCTCAGTGGATTGAGCATCATCCCATGGACTGAGAGGTCCTAGTTCAATTCCTAGTCAGGGCACATGCCCCAGTTGTTAGCTTGATCCCCAGCAGAGGGTATGCAGGAGGCAGCCGAGTGATGTTTCTCTCTCACATCAATGTTTCTAACTCTCTCTCCCTTCCTTTCTCTGAAAAAAAAAAAAAAAAAATCAAAACACACACACACACACATATATATTTTTAAAGGTAAAAGACAGAGAATCCTTTTTTTGGTGAAGAACTCTTTTGAGTCTATTTAGGCCACACTGTCGACAACTGACAGAAAGGCAAATCTCAAAGGTTGAGATAATGTTCCTGAGAATAGCAGTTTTGTCTCTCGATCGGTACATTACCAGGAAAAGAGGAAACCTCAGTGGGTTACATGAAATCCATGGGTAATAGATTAGGCAGGTGGGAGAGACAAAGCAAAGCGCTGGAAAACATGACAAAAACAAAAACAAAAAACTTAAACCAGCAATAGAAAAGCAGTTATCTACAATAAAGTTCCCCTAAGACCATCAGTTGACTTCACAACTGAAACTCCAGGACAGAAAAGACTGCCACAAAATATTCAAAGTAGTGAAAAACAAGTAAGTACACCCAACATTACACTACCCATAACAGCTAATATTTAAAATCAAACGACAGCCCAGATGGTGTGGCTCAGTGGATGAGGCTCAACCTATGCGCCAAGAGGTCACTGATTCCATTCCAGGTCAGGGAACATGCCCAGTTTGTGGACTCAATCTCCAGAAGGGGGCGTGCAGGAGGCAGCCAATCGATGTTGATGCTTCTCTCTCTAATTTGTTTCTCTCTTTCTCCTTCTCTCTTCCTTGCTCTCTCAAAAATCATTAAAAATTAAAAGTAATACTAAAAAGATAAGGATAAAATAAAAGGACAGGTAAACAGGTTCCCATACAAAAAAGAGCTAAAGAAGTTCATCACCAAATCAGTACAAGAAATGTTAAAGGTTAGTCTTCTTTAAAAAGAAAAAAAAGCCTTGGCTAGTGGTGCTCAGCTGGTTGAGCGTCATCCTATCTATCAGAAGGGTGCCAGTTTGATTCTTTGTCAGGGCCACATTCACCAGCAGCAACCTGAAGAAGGCACCAAATGATGTTGTGCTCTCTATCTCTGTTTCTCTCTCTCTCCCTTCCCCTTGCACTAAATATCAGTAAACATTTTTTTTTTTAAAGGCCCAGCTGGTTTTACACTCAATAGTCGAGTATTGACCAATAGACCAAGAGGTCACCAATTCAATTCCCGTCAGGGCACATGCCCAGGTTGGGGGTTCGATCTGATCGATGTTCATATTTATCCCTCCTGGATGTTTATATCTCCCTCTCTCAATCTCTCTCTCTCTCTCTAAAATCAGTAAAATTTTTTGTCTTTTGTCCTTGACAGAGGGCATTTTTGCATTTATCTTCAGATAGAGTAGGAGGGAGAGAGGAAGGAAGAGAGAGAGAGAGAAACATCAACGTGAGAGAGACACATCGAGTGGTTGCCACTCACACAACCCCAACTGGGGCCAGGGACAAACTGTAACTGAGGTACGTGCCCTTAGCAGGAACCAAACCTGGGACTCTCTGGTCCAGGGGCCAACGCTCTAACCACTGAGCAAAACCCACCAGGGCAATAAAAAATATTTTTGAAAAAGAAATAACAATTTTGAATAACAAATGGCTATAAAAAACCCTGAAGTCTCCCCAGCCAGTATGGCTTAGTGGATTGAGTGTCAACCCAAGAACTGAGAGGTCCCATTCAATTCCTGATTAGGGCAGGGGCCCCGTGGTTTCAGGTTCGATTCCCACTTGGGTGGCGTGCAGGAGGAGGCTGATCAATGTTTCTCTCTCACATCAATATTTCTATCTCTCTCTTCCTTCCTTTCTCTCTAAAATTATCAATAAAAATTATTATACTGCCCTGGCCGGTTTGGCTCAGTGGTTAGAGCATCAGCCTGCGGTCCAGAGAGACCCAGGTTCGGTTCCCGCTAAGGGCGCATACCTCGGTTGCAGTTTGTCCCCGGCCCTGGTTGGTCATGCGGGTGGCAGCCACTCAATGTGACCCTTTCATGTCGATATTTCTCTCTCACTCTCTCTTCCCTTCTTTCCCTCCCACTCTATCTGTACAAAAAATGGAAAAATGTCCTCGGGTGAGGATAAAAAAAAACAAACAAAAAACTATTATACTAATCAAAATCGGCCCTGGTCGATTTGGCTCAGCGGTTAGAGCGTCGGCCTGCGGTCCGGAGACCCGGGTTCGGTTCCCGCTAAGGGCACGTACTTCGGTTGCATTTTGTCCCCGGCCCTGGTTGGTCGTGCGGGTGGCAGCCACTCGATGTGTCCCTTCACGTCAATGTTTCTCTCTCTCTCTCCCTTCCTCTCTCTCCCTCCCACTCTATCTGTACAAAAAATGGAAAAATGTCCTCGGGTGAGGATAAAAAATAAAAAAAATAAAAAAATAAAAAAAATCTTATCATTTGTTTACAGCACAGATCTACCTAGAGTGTATTATGCTACCTAGAGTGAAATAAGTCAATCAAAAAAGGACATATAATTCCCTGGCCAATTTGGCTCAGTGATTAGAGTGTTGGCCTACAGTTCAGAGACCTGGGTTCAGTTCTCACTAACGGCACGTATCTCGGTTGCATTTTGTCCCCGGCGATGGTTGGGTTGTGTGGGAGGGGGCCACTCAATGTGTACCTTTCGTGTCAATGTTTCTCTTTCTTTCTATCTCTCTCTCTCTTCCTCCCTCCCACTCTAATAAAAAATGGGAAAATGTCCTCAGGTGAGGATAAAAAAACAATAAACAAACTCATAGATACACAGAAGAGTCTTATAGTTGTAAGACCTGATGCCTGTTGAAGGACTGGGTGACAACAGGGAAGGAACTGACGAGTACAGGTGGTAGTCACAGACAGTCACTGGATGTGAAGTACAGCAAAGGAAATATAGTAAATGATGTAGTAACGACTATGTACAGTGCTGGCTGGGTACTGGAAATACTGGGGAAACACTGTGTAAAGTAGACGACTGTCCAACTACTCTTCTGTACACCTGAGACTAACACAGAATAGTATAGAATGAAAAACAGACACCTCAGACCTAGATTAGAATAGGTCTCCCCAAAATTCTGACTACTATATACATGTACTATTGGAAAAGAATCCTTCTATATCACCATGAATTCTAACTGCAAGTGTGCTTCTATGAACAGCAAACATTTTGCATGACGACATACATAATATGGTAGGAAAATGTCACAGGAAGTGAATTCAAATCATTTAAAAATACCTATGAAAAGGGATTTTCATAAAGAAGCAGTTGGCAGCCCTGGGCAGGTAGTTCAGTTGGTTACAGCGTCAACCACAAAGGGATAGTTTGTGGTTCAGTCCTTGGTCAGGGCACACAAAAAATTCAAAGAACAAATGCATAAATAAGTGAAAAACAAAAATCAATGTTTCTCTCTCTATTCCCCTCCTTCTATGTTTAAAAAAAAACAACAACAACAATAAAAAAAGCATTTAAATGATGTGAGAAATATTTTCAATATTAATATATTTCTGCTGTTATTATACAAAATGTGTAGGGGGTAACCCACCCTAAGGAAAACAAGACACAGACACAAAAAATGCATGTAATTTATTAAAAAAAAAAAGAAACTTGTAAATTGTACAGAGAATGACTGCTTTTTAAAATGAACATTTCAGCCCTAACTGGGTCTTAGTTGCTTTGAGCATCATTCCAATATACCAAAGTTGTGGGTTCCTCTTCATTTAAGACACATATAAGAATCAGCCATTCCTGGCTGGTTTGGCTCAGCAGTTAGAGCTTAGGCTTGCGGTCCAGAGAGACCTGGGTTTGGTTCCCGTTAAGTTGCACGTACCTTGGTTGCAGTTTGTTCCCAGCCCTGGTTGGGCAACCACTCGATGTGTCCCTTTCACATTGATGTTTCTCTCTCTTCCTCTCTCTCCCTCTCACTCTATCTGAACAAAAAATGGGAAAATGTCCTCAGGTGAGGATTAAAAAAAAAAAATCAACCAATAACCTTGGCCGGTTTGGCTCAGTGGTAGAGTGTCGGCCTGGGGACCAATGTGTTGCAGGTTCAATTCTGGTCAAGGGCACGTACCTCAGTTGTGGTTCAGTAACCAGCCCTGGTTGGGGTCGTGCTGGAGGAAACCACTCGACATAACTCTCTCACATCAATGTTTCTCTCTCTTTCTATCAGAAGACAGATGAAAAAAATATCCCCGTGTGAGGATTTAAAAAGGAAACAAATTAGCCCTGGCCAGTTTCACTCAGCGATCAGAGCGCCAGCCTGTGGACAAGAGAGTCCCAGGTTCAGTTCCTGCTAAGGACATGTAAGTCGGTTGCAGTTTTCCTCACTCCCGTTGGGGTTGTGTGGGTGGCAACCAGTCCATGTGTCTCTCTCACATGGATGTTTCTCTCTCTCCCTCTTCCCTCCTTTCTCCCTACCGCTCTATCAAAAGATAAATGCAAAAAAAAAAAGAATACAAATTAAAAATTAAACAATTCTGTTAAATATACCATAATTAAGAGACATGCTGAGGAAAGCAAATGAAAACCTCATCATTGCTTTCGCCTGTAGTAAACTTAAATTGAGGAACTAAACACGTTCCTAGATATGAAGTGCCTGATTATTCTGTAACTTACTTCTTACCAAAGCAGAGCACATTGCAGCATGTTGTATCAGCACTAGTGAATATGCAACCACACATGTGGAAAAGATCTGATCAGAAAGTGTAAAGACACAGTCCACAGCCCAGGCAGCTTTGGCCTGAACAAGACAGAATTAGGAGATGAGAGTGATGACGAAATCGGACAACACTGGAGACTTTCCTGCAGAAGGCCGATGCTCTGAGGTCTCCTATGGCGGTAAAGGATTGAAAACTCTATGAGGGAAACATACATTAAACTATTGTAACACGGAGAAACTGGGGAATACAGACCAGACATGTCCTTCGTTAGTTTATATGAAGCAAAAAGAAGTTTTGAAGTGAAAGAGAAAATAAGATTTTCTCATTTCAGGGAGGTGCACTGTGCTGTCATGAAATCACCGAGTGAGAACTTTGTAGCAAACCCAAAACTCTGGCTTATCGGGATGACACTCTGACTGAGTAACCCGGCCATGGCCCCCGTGCTCCTTCATTTGCTCAGAAAAGATGACCAGGACTGGCTTACAGACAGCAAGACCTACCTATTGGAAAAAGTAATGTGAGTTTTCAAAGGATTCTCCTATTTCCAGGTGAGTTTGTGCTCAGTGGAGAAGACATGGTAGAATATTGGAATACTCTAGAAAACACTTTTCTAAAACACTGTTTCCTGATAGCACCTTAATTTTTCTGCACAACATGTAAAGTTTTCAGACAATGAGTTCCTAATTCACATACATCACAAAGCTTTTCTTTTCAACAAAGAAAACCTCAAATTAGTTCCTTGAGACCAAGACTCTGACAGGCTACCATAGAAAGCAGAAGCCCCCAAAGAATGTTAAAGTAATAAAGGAAGCAAAACCCTGCGGCTGGAGGAGGAGCTCTGGAAGGAAGTCATCCTCACCCAGGGAGACCAGGTTCCTGTAGTTCTCCAACATCACATCCAGGTACAATGTCCGCTGAGCTGGGTCCAGGCAATCCCACTCCTCCTGAGAGAAGTCTACGGCCACATCCCTGAAGGTCAGCGGGCCCTGAAAGGAAAGACACATTCACCAAGAAACAGCAAGCGGAGTTCATGTCACCCAACACGGAAACAGTGTTAGGAGAACTGGTTTTGACCTAGGAGAGTATTCGAAACTATCTAATAAGATCATTTTGAACCAGTAATAGTGTCTAGTGTATTTTCTAACATTGAGAAACGGAGATGACACATGTCCACAAATCCACTGCAGACACGTTACTTTTCAGGAAAATAAAATTTAAAATTAAGGCACCAACACATGCATATGGATTTTGAGCGCTGTATTTGTATCTGTGAAGGTCAGTTGTGTATACTTCTCAACTGTAAATGTCACGGTGAGTTGGAAGTGTAAGTATTTCTTCAAGTGTAATGCAGACAATACCCAATTACACTTTTCTAATTTTTTCTTTAATCCTCACCCAGGGATATTTTTTTCCATAGATTTTTAGAAACAGTAGAAGGGAGGGACAGAGAGAGAGGGAGAGAGGAAGAGGAGATAGGGGGAGAGAAACATCAATGTGATAGAGACACATCGGTTGGTTACCTCATACACATGCCTGACTGGGGTTGGAGATCGAATCTGTAACCATGGTACTTGCCCTTGAACGGGAATCGATCCTCCAATCTCCAGTGTACCCGCTGACCCTCTAACCACTGAACCACGCTGGCCAGGGCTGCACACTAATAGCACATTCAAACAGGAAGTTCTTCTGTACCGACTGAGTGAGCAAGTCTCTTCTCGTCACTCTTCTTTTCAGAACTTTCTGAACTATTCTGAGCGGTAAAAAGTGCATTTTCTTAACCCTGATGCTGCAGACACGTTACCTAAAATCTAGGTCTCCCTTCTTCACTGACACGCGAGCCTCTGACCTCATCCCAATAGGGATGTCAGACATGGGAGCCTTCCCTGCTTGGTCTGTCAGGAAAGGGATGTTTTCAAGAGTGGAAAATCATGAAATAAAGGCAGGTATGCTTCCTGACCTGGGGGAGGCTGCAGAAAGTGAATGCAGAACAGGCTCTGGGACAAAGGAGAGGAGTATACAACCTGACCTTAACCATCATAAGGAAAAAATAAATGAAATAAGTCAAGGAAAACAACCTCACTAGGCAAGAATATCAGAAGTAGAGAAATAAAAGTTGCAGGTTCTAAATCCACCCATGTGAAAGGAGAAGCAGACACCGCCTCTGACCCACGACACGTCTTTTACCTGAGAAGCAGCCATTTTGTCCTGGTCCTGGTCCTGCTCAGGGTTGTTTTCTCAGGTGAAGTTAAGTTGGAGTCACAAAATGTGCCTTCAAATGTGTCCGCACAGGCCCTTAATCAGCTCCCACCACACTCACAGCCAGAAGGACCTGGAACTGCTGAAAAGGCCACCCTCTGCTGTCCTTTGTCACTGGGGAGTCAGGAACAATGAGCTCCGACACAGAGAGCAAGCTGTTTTTCTGTCTTCATGTGTCTCTCCTTCCAGAGACGTCCATAAACTCCTACAGCAGTGAGAACATGCACGGCTGTCCTGAGCCCGCAAACCCAATAGAGCACCCTGTTACCCTTCCTGAACAAAGCCTGATGCACATTCTTACAAAGGTATCCAGCAGCCCTCCTGCTAATCTCGGGGCTCACCTTACAGCACCTCAGTAAACAATGAGGCCCCACCAAGAGCAGTGGAACAACTCTATGGGGGAAAACGCACCTGATGGCATTACTTTTTTTTCTTTTAGAGAGAGAGAGACACCCACATAGATGGTCGCCTCCCCCACGACCCCAACCAGGAAGAGGTATCGAACTTGCAATCCAGGTACATGCCCTTCACCAGGAATCGAACCAGGGACCAGGGACCAGGGACACTTTGGTCCCTGGGCAGATGCTCTAACCGCTGAACCAAAGTGGCTAGGGCTGATGTCATTTCTTAAAGTTTCTCAGGCCACCTGAGAGGAACCCAGAAGGGAACAGAACTTTAAGAAGCATGCAGACCCCTTAAAATCTAAGTGATGGATCTGCAGGTGTGCAGCATGAGCCATGATATACCATCTTTAACTAGTTCCCTCCTGGAGCTTGCGCTGCTCCCTGACAGCTGTGTTCAGTAGCACTGGGTGACAGACATCAGACCCAGCACACCTGAGACCTCTGGACAGTGTGAGGGGTTCAAGCAGGAACTAAGAGAAGTCCAGGGTTCCCAGGTACATTTCCTTCCTCGTTTCCCAGGAAATAACAGAGAATACATGTTAATGCTAAATCCTTTATTAAAATTTAGCTATTGAAATATACTAATCAAATGACTTCAGTCTCAACAGATGGGCTCAGTAGGAAGGACGATTCAGGTCAATCCTGTCTACCCTTCACTATTTTCAGAGAATGGACAAAAGAGACTTGAGGAGAACAGCTCCGCTGTGGCTCACAGTCACTAATACAACAAATCACATAAAGAGAAGGAAAAAGCTGCTGAACATTAGACCAACTCACACAACTAAGTTCTGACTGCTAAGATCACTGACATCTTTATGAAAGGCACAGGGAAATGTCCTCATGTTATCAACTAGTTACCAATGGGCGTTTGACAAATGATAAACAGTAGAAAGGATACATTACATGACTCAGGATCAAAACTGGACACAACATATTTACTTCTCTCTCTCTCTCTCGTTTTTCTTTTGGTATGTGTCCTTAGTGGGAACCTAACCTGAGACTCTCTGGTCTGCAGGTCGACCCTCCAATTGCTGACCCAAACCGGCCAGGGTTGGATACAACATATTTAAAATGAACAAAAATTTTGGTTGTTTTGTTGTTGTTATTCCTCAACCGAGGATATTTTTCCATCAATTTTTAGATAGACTGGAAGGAAGGAAAGGAGAGAGAGAGAAACAAGGATGTGAGAGAGACACATGGATTGGCTGCCTCCAGCAGGACCCCATCAGAGGCCGGTGATCCAACCTATAACCCAGGTACTTGGCCTTGACTGGGAATCGAACCCTTGTCCCTTAGGCCCACAAGCAGAATCTCTAACTGATGAGCCAAACCGGCCTGGGCAATGGTTGTTTTTCTACGTAATGATTTCTAGGTTTAAAGTTGAAAAAAGCCCTGGCCGGTTTGGTTCAGCGGTTAGAGCGTCGGCCTGCGGTCCTGAGAGACCCGGGTTCGGTTCCCGCTAAGGGAGCGTACCTCGGTTGCAGTTTGTCCCCGGCCCTGGTCGGTTGTGCAAGTGGCAGCCACTCGATGTGTTCCTTTCACATCGATGTTTCTCTCTCTCTCTGTTCCTCTCTCTCCCTCCCACTTACCTGAACAAAAAATGGAAAAATGTCCTCGAGTGAGGATTAAAAAAAAAAAAAGTTGAAAAAAGGTTGAGACTAACTTATATTTAGAAAGAAGATAAGAGGTGGTTATGGGCAATCAAAAATGCTTATTTAAGGAGTTAGTGACTATTTTAAAAAACAAAATATTTAACAAACATATATCAGGGTGTTTTTTAAAACTGAATTAAAACTCAGAGGTTAGCCCTGGCCGGTTTGGCTCAGCAGTTAGAGCGTCGGCCTGCGGTCTGGAGAGACCCGGGTTCGGTTCCTGCTAAGGGCACATACCTCGGCTGCAGTTTGTCCCCGGCCCTGGTTGGGTCCTGTGAGTGGCAACCACTCGATGTGTCCCTTTCACGTCCATGTTTCTCTCTCTCTTTCTCTCCCACTCTATCTGAACAAAATATAAACAAATGTCCTCGGATGAGAATTAAAAAAAAAAAAAAGGTTAAGAAAAAAAAAGTGAATCCAAAGGGGAGGGAAAAAATGACCTAAGGATTCTGATATTCCTTGAAATAGCATCATGTACTGACAGATTCAGTCATTACTTGCCCAAGTCACCTCCTTCCCGCCATCCCAGGAAATGAAAAGGACCCAGGACCAACAGACAGATCTCTGCCCTCTGTCTGAATAGTGTTTTCATTGGAAGCAAACCATTATGAATTTTACAAGCCTTATAAGCTAAAGATTTGTAATTCTCATCCCAACCTTTTTACTAAATACTTCCGATAATGTTGAACTAAATACATAAAGTCTCCAGGCAATATATCCCAATTTCAGCACCCACACACCCCAGCAGCTCAGCAGTCACCCAGATCCAGTCCCGGGCTCCCAGCTCCTGTGTGTTTCTGTCTGCAGATCTGCCTGCCTCCCTGTTCCCCTCTCTGCACTGCTGTCCTTTCCTGTTCCCCTCCCCGTCCCCGGCTCCTTCTCCCCTTTTCTCTATTCCTGTCCCTGCACCTGCCCCGCACACTCTGGAAACCTCCCCGCCGTCAGGGGCTCCCCGCCTCTTTCTGAGACCCCTGCCCGGCCCGTGCCCTGTGCCCGTCCTGCCCGTCCCCACAGCGGGCTGCCTCTCAGCGCTGTGTCTCCCTCGGCCCGTCACCCCTGAACCCCTTTCCGCCCCTGCACTCGCTCCCCAACTCTTCCCCTCAGGACCACGCTCTCCGTCCTCGGGGCCCGTCCTGTCGCCCCCACTTCGGCTCCCCAGGCCGCTCCCGACAGCCCTGTGCTCCCCTCGGGGTGCCCTCTCCCGGAGAGTCTCCCTGTCCCCCGCTCCTCCCCGAGGCCTCTCCCACCCCGTCCGCTCTCGGCCTCAGGACCGTCCCCCACGTGCCGTCTGTCCGTCCGGCTCCCGCCCCTCCGCAGCCGCCGCCGCCACAGCGCGCTCCCCGCGGCGGGTCCTCTCCGGGGGCCGCGGCTCCCGGCTCAGTCCCCCCAGGGCGCCCGCGCTGTCAGAGTATTCGGGTCTCTGACTGAAATTAGACGGTGGGAGAGGGGTGGGGGGAGACCCTGCAAATGCCCACGCGGGGGGCGGTCCAGACTCTCCCGGACAAGAGTGAGACGCGGGGGAGGGGCGCGCAGGTTAGGACTCCATCCCCCGGGGCAGTGCCGGAGCGGGGAGGGAGCCCTGCCCTGGGAAGGCGGCTTCCAAGGGACCGAAGGAAAACAAAAGGGAACTAACTCTCCGCCCGGCCGCGAAGCGCTCAGGGAATCTCACGGACACACGGGACTCACCGCTGCAGGAGGCGCTGGTGCGGGGACTTCCACGCCCGTACTGCCCCTCAGGCCTCACTTGTGTGAGGAATCAGGACGAAGAAGATCGGGATGAGGAACACGGAAACCAGGAAGAGCAGCCCAACCTTGCACGATCCAGAGCCCTTCCCGGGTCTGGGAGAAACTGCGCCTGCGCGCTGGCTGAAACCTGTGCTGAGGTGCTTTAGGGGCCAAGCGCTTCTAACAATGGGCGGGGCAGGCTGCCTGCGCTGGGCGGGGCGAGCTGCCTGCGCTGGGCGGGGCGAGCTGCCTGCGCTGGGCGGGGCGAGCTGCCTGCGCTGGGCGGGGCGATTAGAGCGTTGGCCTGCGGACCACAGTCCCAGGTTAAGTTCCCGCTAAGGGCACATACCTCCTACCTGGGTTGTAGTTTGTCCCCGGCCATGGTTGGTCGTGTGGGTGGTGACCATTGGATGTGTCCCTTTCACGTGGATGTTTCTCTCTCTCTCCCTCCCACTCTATCTGAACCAAATGTCGAAAAATGTGCTCGGGTGAGGATAAAAAGAAAAAATTAAAAAATAAAAAGAATAATTTTAAAACACTGATATAACAGGGTTATTGTCTACTTGAAGACAAAATGAAATATATTAAAACAAAATTAATCTTCACATGCTCTCTGTGAAACTACTTCTACTATCCAGGTGTCTTCTCTATACCACTAAATTCTGTGAGAAACATTTTTAAAATCACTGACCAGAATATATAAGCAGGCCAGCGGTGTGGCTCAGTGGCTGAGCATCCACCCTGCTTATGCACCAGGAGGTCACTGATTCAATCCTGGGCACATGCCCGGGTTGTGGGCCAGATCCCCAGTGGGGGGCATGCAGGAGGCGGCAGGTCAATGTTCTCTCTCATCAATGTTTCTATCTCTCTCTCCCTCTCACTTCCTCTCTCTCTAGAAATCAATAAAGAAAAATAGTTAAAAAGAAAAAAAAGCATATAAAAGCAGTATTTCATGACCTATAAAACAAGGAAACACTATGGTAGGTTTTATATTAAACACAAGAAATTAAAGACGACAACTGCAACATGAGTTTCTTAAACAGAGAACCATGAGTTTTGAAAAAAGTAAATGTACAGAAATGCAATGTACAGAAAATCATTCATATTCTAAATGTTTAAGTTACCTATTTTGATCCATTATGTCCCTATGCTTCTGAAAATGTGCACACACACACACACACACACACCTTTTCTTCCTCAATATCCTTATTCCCACATCTTTGGGTTACTATATGTACATTTAAAAAAAAATTTTTTTTTTTGGTCTTTATTTTAGAGAGACAAGAAGGGAGAGGGAGAGAGAGAAACATCAATGAGAGAGAACATGAATTGGCCACCTCCTGCATGCCCCCAACTGGGCATGTGCCCTGACCAGGAATCGAACCGGCATGGTGCATGGGTCGACACTCAACAATTTGGCCACACTGGCCAGGCAAGAAAATTTTTTATTTTTTTTAATTTTTTGAGAGAGAAGAAGAGAGAGGGAGAAAGATATAAACATTGATGAGAGAGAACATTGATTGGCCACCTCCTGCACACCACTCCCCCTCACCAGGGATCAGGTTCACAACCTGGACATGTGCCCTGACCGGGAACTGAACCAACGACCTCTTGGTGTATGAGTGAATGCTCAACCACTGAGCCACACTGGGCTGTACATTTTTTTTGTTTTGTTTTCAGATAGAGCAGGAGGGAGAGAGGGGTGAAGGGAGAGAGAGAAACAGATGTAAGAGAGACACATCAACTGGTTGCCACCCACACGACCCCAACTGGGGCCAAGGATGAACCGCAACGGAGGTACTTGCCCTTAGCGGGAACCAACCTGGGACTCTGGTCTGCGGGCTGATGCTCTAACCACTGAGAAACAGGACAGGGCTTTTAAAAAATGGTTTTATTGATTTTTTATACAGAGAGGAAGAGAGGTCAAAACATCAACTTGAGGAACATCTATTGACTGCCTTCTGCATACTCCGTACTGGGGACCGATTCCGCAACCCAGGCCTGTACCCTGACTGGGAGTTGAACCAGGACCTCTGTCCATGGGACAACACTCAATCCACTAAGCCACACTAGCTGGGCTACATATTTCACTTCTGTGTATCAAACCATGGAACCTTGTTTATGTAAGCTCAGGAAAAGAATATGTCAAAAAATACCTAGGTCCAAAGTTAAAAAGAACTTCCTAATTATCCTAGTTTGGGCTTTGTTAAATTAGCATTTGTTAAGCAGAGCACCTGGTATTGGATGGTGAGCCACAGTTACACAAAAGGCCAAAAGGGAAATTGAAACAGACAAGTTTCTAACTCACAGGCCCTCAAGCAAGTACACAGCCGGACTGGAAGGGCTACACATGGAGGCCAAGGTAGGATGCAGGGAGAGAGGAGAACCCAGGGCTGATCCTTTGTTAGGGTCTCGATGTAGAGTTCTCTGGAGTTATTGTGGTAAGTTTGGATTTTTCAAAATAAACCAAAAAGAGCAGTTTTGGAAAGATATGCAGAGATCTTATCTTAGGGTCATACATGGCGAACGGGAGATACTTGCTCACAGGGGCTGCTGGAGAGTCATGTCAGAAATTTACACTCACCTCCAACTCTGTGACCTGTTGCCTAGTGCAACATTGAGGGAGCAGGCAGTGTCACTTCAAGGCTTCTATCTACAGAAAATAAATGTCATGGCAGCAATACCATGATGTACTTAAGTTGGACTGTCAAAAATACTAGTGTCACATTTACTGTAACTATCATAATGTCCCAGTAGGGACAACAATAAGAAAAATATAAAAATTATGGAGAAATCTGTTCACATCCTTTATAGGCCACTGGGCATATGGATTGCTGATGAAGTAATTGCACTGCATTACCAGTGTATTGTTACCTACCACCTTAAATAAGGTTGGATGTGAACACATCCAAATTCATTCAGCTTATTAATGAACATACTATTACGTTCACAAAGTCTAAATAAAATAGGACTCTGTGACTACTTGTGAAAATTCACATGACAAACTTTCAAAATTGGTTCCTGTTCTTCTGACATCATGATCTGAGAGCTGTGCTTTTTTTAGTTGTTCAGAATGGAGGTTAATTATTTAGTCAACATGGGTGTACAATAATTTAATACTCTTTTAGAAAAGAGTGCCTATACTTTCTCACATATCCCAGACCACTTTTCTTTGTTGTTAATCCTCACCCAAGGTTATTTTTCCATTGATTTTCAGACTGTGGGACTGAGGGAGCGAGATAGAGACACATCGATTGGTTGCTTCCCCCACCCAACTGTGGTCAGGGAGGGAACCTGCAACCCAGGTATGTCCCCTTGACCAGGAATCAAACCCAAGACCCTTCAGCCCACAGGCCAGGGCTCTAGCCACTGAGCAAACCAGCCAGGGCCCTGATCACTTTTCTTTAATCCTTACCCGAGGATATTTTTACATTTATCTTCAGATCGAGTGGAAGAAAGGGAGGGAGAAACATCAATGTAAGAGAGACACATCAACTGGTCGCCACCCACACAGCCCAGAGGGGTCAGGAACGAACTGCAACTGAGGTATGTGCCCTTGGTTAGAATCAAACCTGGGACTCTTTGGTCCACAGGCTGACAATCTAACCACTGAGCCAAACCAGCCAGGGCCTGATCACTTTTTATTTAAATTCATCAACTAATGTTCACCACATCTGTCTATAACTACTATGAAGATACATCAGGATTTTAATAAACTTCTCTCATGTTCCTTAAATAGTAACTGGTAAAAATACTTAAAATTCGTAATATTCTACTATCTTACACTAATGCAACAACAGATGCTCTTCATGGTAACATACAATAATGTTTTAAGTCAACCACAAACAGCATCTCCATTTAGATTTTCTTCATACACTGTACATTAAAATATACTCCATTTTCCATGGAAAAGTGCATGAGTGAAACCCACCTAATATAGAAGAGCTCACAGATCTTTTAAAAAAGCAACATTCAACCTCACGACTTCATACACACACTAGGAATAACATTCGAGCATCAACTTATATGAGAGTGGAATCAAATTTATAATTTCCTTCTCAAAATATCTCAAATAGTTTATCAATATAAAATAGAACACACTGGCCCTGGCCAGTTTGGCTCAGCGGTTGGAGCGTCGGCCTGCGGTCCAGAGAGACCCGGGTTCGGTTCCCGCTAAGGGCACGTACCTCAGTTGCAGTTTGTCCCCAGCCCTGGTTGGTCGTGCGGGTGGCAGCCACTCGATGTGTCCCTTCACATCGATGTTTCTCTCTCTCTCTCTTCCTCTCTCTCCCTCCCGCTCTATCTGAACAAAAAATGGAAAAATGTCCTCGGGTGAGGATACAAAAAAAAATAAAATAAAATAAAATAAAATAGAACACAATGTAATTATTCAATGACATACTTTTGCATATTTTTATATCTATAAAGTCAGTTTAAGACATAAATTGTTTTGGTTTTGTAAAGTGTATTAATTTGGACAAAAGTCTTTCATCCCTTATTATGAAAGTAGAATCCCTCTTCAGTGTGCAAACCCCGATATTCAGTGAGGACACTGGTCCAGCGGTAGTGTCCCACCTACTTCTCCTTTAAGGTTGTCCTTCTAGTATAAATTCTCATGTGTTGAATAAGCTATGAATGCTGAATAAAGTTTTTCTACATTCTTTACATTTGTATTGTTTTCTTTCATATGAATTCTGATATCAACTAAGGTTTGCGTGCTCAGGAAAGCTTTGCCCTTTTTTATATTTGTTAGTCTTCTATCCAGTATTAATTACCAGATGTTGAGTAAGACATAAATGAGGATAAAGACTTTGGAACATGGTTATTTTTTAATCCTCACCTGAAGTATTTTTCCATTTATCTTCAAACAGAGTGGGAAGGGGGAAAGAGAGATTGATGCAAAAAAGGCACATCAATTGGGTGACTCCTGCATGACCGAATTGCAACTGAGGTATGTGCCCTTGACCAGAATTGAACCTGAGACTCTTTGGTCCTCGGGCCAACGCTCTAACAGCTAAGCCAAACCAGCCAGGGCCATGGATACATTTATAAGGCTTAATTCTGATGCTCAATGAGGCTTAAACAATGGTCAAATGTTTTGCCAAATTATTTACAGTTTTATCATTACACTCCAGCATGACTTCCCCAGTGTTGAGCAAGTTCAGAGCACAGGTTAAAGGCTATGCCACTTTCTCTACATATTAATGGTTTCGCTTCAGTATGAATTCTTTCATGTTGCTTAAGATGTCGCCACATGACTAAAGGCTTAGGTACGTACACTATATTCATAAGCTTCTCTGCAGTATGAATTCTCTTGTGATGAGTAAGATGCCAACAATAAAGGCTTTGCAACATTCTCCATATCTGTAAGGCTTCTCTTGAGAACAAATTATCTGATGTTTAGCAAGATTCCCTCTCACGCAAAGGCTTTACCATACTCCTTACAACTGTAAAGATTCTCTCCAGTATGAACTCTCTGATGCACAGTAAATTTTGAACGCTGGGTAAAAGCTTTGTCACATTGTCTACATTTATAAGGCTTCTCTCCAGTATGGATTCTCTGATGGTCAGTTAGGTTTGAGGACGCGCTAAAGGCTTTGCCACACTGTCTGCATTTGTAAGGTTTCTCCCCAGTATGAATTCTCTTATGTCGGGTAAAACACCACTGCTGTTTAAAGGCTTTGGAACATTTTCTACATTTATAAGGCTTCTCTCCTGTATGAATTCTCTGATGTTCAGTAAGGGCTGAGGAAGCACTAAAAGCTTTGCCACATTCTCTACATTTGTATGGTTTCTCTCCAGTATGAACTCTCTCATGTCGAGTAAGACACCACTGCTGAGTGAAGGCTTTGGCACATGTACTACATTTATAAGGCTTCTCTCCAGTATGAATTTTCTGATGGTGAGTAAGTGTTGAGCGATATATAAAGGCTCTACCACATTCTCTACATGTGTAACGTTTCTCCCCAGCATGAATTCTTTTCTCATGATCAGTAAGATATGAAAGCGTTTTGAAGGCTTTCCCACATTCTCCACACTTGTAAGGCTTCTCTCCAGAATGAGTTATTTGATGTTTAGTAAGGTATGAATGCCAAGGAAAGGCTTTCCCACACTCCTTACATCTGTAAGGTTTCTCTCCACTGTGAGTGATCTGATGATGCATAAGTTTTGAGGAGCGATTAAAGGCTTTACAACATTGCCCACATTTGTAAAGATTTTCTCTAGTATAAATTCTCTGATGTTGAGTAAGTCCTGAGCGCTGGCTAAAGGCTTTGCCACAGTCTCTACATTTATAGGGCTTCTCTCCAGTATGAATTCGTTGATGTTCAGTAAGATTTGAGGACTGGCTAAAGACTCTGCCACATTCTCTACATTTGTAAGGCTTCTCGCCAGTATGAATTATTTGATGTATAGCAAGACATGAAGACCGATGAAATGTTTTACCACATTCTTTACATTTGTAAGGTCTTTCACAAGTATGTCTTTTCTTATATTTATTTAGATTGAATTTTTGACTGAAGATACTCCCACCCTGATTACATTTGTAAGCTTCTACCTCGAGACGAATATTCTCTTCTTCAGTGTAATTTGAAGGTTGCTTAAAAGATGTGACACATTTACTTCGTTTGTTTGTCTTCTCCACAATATAAATGACCTGATGTATATTTAGATTTGACATTTCACCAAAGACTTTTCCATGTTTATAATGGTTCTCTCGAAGCTGTATTCTCTGATGATTATTAGGATTTGACTCTTGCTTAAATTTCTTATGTTCATTCCATTGGTAACTTCTGTCTCCATCATATGTACTCTGATAATCATTGAAAATAGAAAGACTTTTAGTAACAACTATAATTTAATTAAACAGGTACACTTATTCTCAAATAACTATTCTTTGATACCTATTAAACCATGATGGTCGTAGGAAAAAAAAAACTCTTCCACATTTATAAAAATTATACATATTGAAATACAAAAACATTATTTCACAGTGGAAGAATAATGACTCCTTGTTAAAGAGATTGTCAATTTGATCATATTTAAATTTTATATGTGCATTCTAAATTTCTAAATTTTAGACATGATTGATGGAATGTTTAATACCACCCTACATTTTAAACAATGCAAATGATTATTCACACTATAGATCATATGAGTTCCTAGATTTCTTTCCAAAAATTTATAACATTAAAAAAGTGGTTTTGGTCTTCATACTTATTTATTTATTTATTTATTTATTTATTTTTTTATCCTCATCCGAGGACATTTTTCCAATTTTTGTACAGATAGAGTGGAAGTGGGGAGAGAGAGAGAGAGAAACATTGACGTGAAAGGGACACATCGAGTGGCTGCCACCCGCACGACCAACCAGGGCCGGGGACTAACTGCAACCGAAGTACGCGCCCTTAGCGGGAACCGAACCCGGGTCTCTCCGGACCGCAGGCCGACGCTCTAACCGCTGAGCCAAACCGGCCAGGGCGGTCTTCATATTTAGAAGCACTCTGACCTGCAAATGGAACTGACTTACAGTGAGAGTTTTCCCAAACGTTCAACATCTCTCATCTCTTTATGTTAACAGTAATTTAATTATAATTGTCACAGATTAGTTCTGTCCACATTAACATCTTTTCCTATTGTCACACTTTTATCAAATTCCAAGGCTTTCACTATGTGTACATTATCAAAGCCACAACATCTACATCTTACCAGTACTCTTTGAGAGAATAAATCTTCTATTCCTGGCTTTTGCAACAAGGCCCAGTTGTCTTCAAATGACATGGCTGAAAGACACAAAATACATTGTCACAGTTACGACACTTTGAACTTACTGGGAATTATTGACCAAATTACATTTTTGAGTACTCCCAAAGCAAGTTAAGAGTTCAAAGCAAGTCCAAGAAAAGTACAGCGACTAAAAGTTACATCAAAGACACATGAAAAAGTGGTAATATTTGCTAACAATAGCTGCTCAAACCCCCTGGAACATAATAGCAATGTAAGAACATTCCTGATTACCAGTTTCTTCTCTAGAGAGACAGACATGAAGGTACTGTGTGTTTAATGATATTGCTGTTTTGCAGCATCTTGAAAAACTTGTTTCTGTTGTGCACGACAGAGTGCTAAAAGAATGGCAGAACATGGCGAATGCACTGGAGAGAGAGAGAGGAAGGGAGAGACATCAATGTGAGAAACATCCATCAGTTGTCTCCCATACCTGCCCTGACCACAGGTTGAACCTGCAGCCTTCATATGTGCTCTAACTGGAAATGGAACCTGAAACTTTTTGCTTTGTAGGACGATGCTCCAACCAATGGAGCCACTCAGCCAGGGCCACAAAACAGTTTTGACAGAAATTAGCATTTCTACCACAGGGGATTATTATTTATTTCCTACAGAAAGCATGTTCATAAAGCTTGGCTGTTTACAATTCCTGAACCTCAATAAAAGATAACAAAACATAAAGAGAAACAAAAAACACAGGGTTCAGATGGTGTGGCTCAGTGCACTGAGAATCGCTCCATGAACAGAGAGGTCCTAGTTTGATTCCTGGTCAGGGCACATGCCCAAATTTCAGGCTCCATCCTCAGTAGGAGGCAGCTAATTGATGTTTCATGCTCACATCAATATTTCTATTTTTCTCTCCCTACAAAATCAATAAATGCATATTTTTAAAAAATCAAGGTCCAATTTTAAAAAAAAAGCAAATCTACATAAGTTGGTACTAAATAAATGGAAATATATTAACTACCTGAAAAAAATACTCAAAATTCAAAATGTATTAAAAACTAAAATATATGATCTGAAACCATGAAAAAACTAGAAGGATAGTCAATAACTCTACCATCATTCTTAGAAATATTGTTTTCTCTTTGTGTCCCTAGGCATAACAAACCATTGAAAAAATAAATAAGACTACAATAAAATAAGTTCTTGCATAGCAAAGGAAATCATCAAAAACAAACAGACTAACTAAAAAGCAACTACAAAATAGTGGAGGATATCCAACAATGATACATTCTCAAAAGCTAAATATTGAATATATATAAGGAACTCACATACAAGTTAACACCAAAAACAAACAATCCAACTGAAAAATGTGCAGAGGACCTGAAAAGACATTTCTTCAAACAGTACATACATATGACCAATAGACATATGAAATGATTTTCAAACATCATTCATCAGAGATATACAAATTGAGACCACAATGAAATACTACCACACACCTATCAGGATGGTAATCATCAATAAATTAACAAACAAGTATTAGCAATGATGTGGAGAAATCAGAACCCTCACTGGCAGAGATTAAACATAATTGGGTGCAGCCTGGCCAGCGTGTCTTGGTGGATTGAGCATGGTCCTATGGACTGAGAGGTCCCCATTTGATTCTGGGTCAGGGCACATGCCTGGGTTGTGGGGCTTGATCCCCACTAGGGGGCGTGCAGGAGGCAACAGACCAATGTATCTGTCTCTGTGACATTTATGTTTCTCTCTCTCCCCCTTCCTCTATCCCTAAAAAAAATCAATAAAAAACATAAAAATAAAAAAATAAATTGGTGCAGCCACTAAAAAAACCAAGATGGAGGTATTTTTGTTGTCTTTTTTTTTTTTGCATTTATCTTCAGATAGAGTGAGGCGGAGAGAGTGGGAATAGAGAGAGAAAGAAACATCGACGTGAGAGAGACATATTGAGTGGTTGCCACCCAACCGGGGCCGGGACAAACCGCAACCAAGGTACGTGCCCTTAGCGGGAACCAAACCTGGGACTCTCCAGTCCTCAGGCTGACACTCTAACCACTGAGCCAAACCGACCAAGGCTGTTGTCTTTTTTTTAAATTTTTTTTTTCTTTATTGATTTTAGAGCAAGAGGAAAGGAGAGGGAGAGACACACACAGATGAAAGAGAATATCAACTGGCCGCCTCCTGCATGCCCCCAATTGGGGATCGGGCCCACAACCTGGGCATGTGCCCTGACCGAGAATTGAACCAGTGACCTCTTGGTACACGGATCAATGCTCAACCACTGAGCCACAATGACTGTGTGAACATATATTTTAAAAACATAAAATAAAAAATAAATAAATAAAAATGGTGAGGGAAATCAGGTAACAATGGAGATTTTCCTGCAGATGGGCGATGTTTGAAGGTAACTACCTATGGTGGTAACATACTGAAGAACTCTGTGAAGTTAACATGTATATTAAAACTATTATACCACAGATGCATTGGAGAATACAGATTTGAAATTTATTTTTTTTTAATTTAACTTTTCCATTTATCCTCTTGATGCTCTCTTCCACCTCCACCCACCCCCTCACGCCCATAGAAACTGCTTATGTTCGTTCATACAAAGCAAAAGGACATCTTGAAGTGACACAGAGAATTCGATTTTTTCATTTCGAGGAGGTGCACTGTCCTGTGATGAAATCACTGAGCCTGAACTTTGTAGGTAGGGTCTTACCTGAAGTCTCCATAGGATTAGAAATTAAAAACCTGCCCTGAACCGTTTGGTTCAGTGGTGAGAGTGTCATCCCTCAGAACAAAGCGTTTTGGGTTAGATTCCCGGTCAAGGGCATGTACCTGGGTTGGAGGATCGATCCCTGGCTCCAGTCAGGGCATGTGCAGGAGGCAACCAATTGATAGTGATCTCTCTCTGTCTTTCCCCTCCTCCCTTCCTCCCTCTCTAAAAGTCAACAAAAAATAATCCTCAAAAAAACTATAAGCCTGAAAACATAACACGTGTCCCCAGGGTTCCTGGAACTTCTGCACCAAATTCTAGGATTACAACCACTTCATTCATAAACTCCTTATATGAGAGAAAAACAAAACTTAAAAAATAAAGGCTTGCCCTGGCCGGTTTGGCTCAGCGGTAGAGTATCGGCTCGCAGACCAATGAGTCTTGGGTTCAATTCCAGCCAAGGGCACGTACCTCAGTGGCAGTTCATCCTTGGCCCCAGGTGGGGTCATGGGGGAGGCAACCAACTGATGTATCCCTCTCACATCGATGTTTCTCTCTCTCTCTCTCTCCCCTTCCTCCCTTCCTCCTTCCCTCCCTCCCTTCCTCCCTCCCTCCCTCCCTTCTACTCTAATTGAATATAAATAGAAAAATAACCTTGGGCGAGTATTATAAACAAAAAAAAAAGGCTTAACATACAATTTCTCAGCAACATGCACAGAGATTCCCAGAAAGAGGAGCCCTCACAGTAAAAGGAGAGGACTGTGGCCCCACTGACAATGTGATGAGGGCAGTCACTGGAGCAGAAGCAGAGTCCTGACAGGTGCAGGTGCATGAGACCTGTTGGAGATGAGCTGTCCCTCTACAACAGCAGCAGACATAGACCTGGGCTCTCAAAATGCATCCACTGAAGCACAGCTTCCCGACCACACTGAACGTCTGGCTCCTTCCATGACCCCTGAACCTCACCTGTGTCACCTGCTTTCCCATTCACACCTACCTGAGAGGATGGATATTGTCCTTTTGCCATTCACATCCCAGGGCTCCTTCAATTGCTCCATAAAGGGGACCAGGACTGACTTAGACACAGCAAGACCTGTTTATCAGAAAAAAAGAACATGAGGTTTGATATCCTCCCATTTCCAATCCAGTTAGTGTTCAGGTGAAAACACGTGGTAGAATATAATATTCTACAAAATTATTTTCCAAAATACTGTTTTTTGACAGCACCGTAATTATTCTAGATAACATGTCAAGTTTTCAGACCCAGGGTTCCTATTTCACATACATCACAAAGCCTTTCTTTTCTATACCAACAAAGCCCCAATTTGTTCTTTGAGAGCAGGGACCTGAAAGTCTACCTTACAAAGCAGAAGCCGATGTTAAATAAAGGAAATAAAACTCTGCAGCTGGAGGAGGAGCTCTGGAAGGAAGTCATCCTCACCCAGGGAGACCAGGTTCCTGTAGTTCTCCAACATCACATCCTGGTACAATGTCCGCTGAGCTGGATCCAGGCATTCCCACTCCTCCTGAGAGAAGTCTACAGCCACATCCCTGAAGGTCAATGGTCCCTGAAAGGACAGACACATTGACCAAGGGACAGCAAGCAGAGTTCATAATGTCACCCAACATGGAAATAGTGTTAGAAGTGGTTATGACCTAAAAGATTATCCTGAATTATCCATTAAGATCATATGAACCAGTAATATTCTCTGATGTGTTTTATTTTTTCTTATTTTCCAAAGAATAATTTGATTTTGTAGAGAGGAAGGAAGAGGGTGGGAAAGAGAGAAACATCCATGTGGACCTAGCAACCTATGGCTGCCTCCTTCATTCCCTCTACTGAGGATAGAGCCTGCAACTGGGGTATGTGTCCTGACAGGGAATCAAACCGGCAACCTTTTGGTACACGATGACGCCCAACCAAGCCACACCAGCCAAGACTCCAAAGTATTTTCTAACACTGAGAAATAAGGCTGACACATGCCCACACATCCACTAGTCTATTTCTCAGCTGGAGAAGTCATGGTGAGTTGGAGATGCAAGTACTTCTTCAATTTTAACATGGACAACAAAGAACTGCACTCTTCTAAAAATACAGGTTCTGATGCAGGAGTTCGGAGCTGGCGCCTGTGTTTCCACATGTGTAACAAGCTCAGCTTTTACTTGTGATGCCAATGTTTCGAGTCCACATGCCATCCTTCCAAATAGCAGAGACAGAAAACACAGGAGAAAATTCATACATAACTATAAATTGAAAGAGTTTTATGGAATTTACAGTTCTCATAAAACAGGAAAACATAACAAACAAAATCCTTTTTGAAAATTTAGTATATACTAGATATAATTCTAAGAGTTTTGTATTTATTAATTTATAATACACACAAGTAATCTGGGAAGATTTTTCTTCCTCTCTTTTGAGAATATTTTGTAAAACTTCCAGTTAAGTATAGATCTTGAATTTTACTTCAACTCTAGAATTTGTTTTTGTTGTTGTTAATTGTCACCTGAAGATATTTTTCCATTGATTTTTATTTTTATTTTTTAGAGTAGAAGGAAGTGAAGGGAAGAGAGAAAAATATCGAAGTGAGAGAGACACATTGATTGGTTGCCACCCGCACAGCCCCAGAGTGGACGGGCCGAACTGTAACCCAGGTACGTGCCCTTAGCGGGAACCGAATTCGGGTCTCGCTGGTCCGCGGACTGACGCTCTAACCACTGAGCAAAACCGGCTAGGACAGTTATTGCCATTTTTAAGTTCAGCACAGATCAATACACATAAAGAACTGTTAGGAACGTTGATGGTAGTTTTTGAAACTGAGAATAATGGAAACATCTTAAGCAAGAGAAAGAATAGCTCAAATGCTGTTAACATTTCTACAGGCAGACAGATACACATGTGGGAACTATGTGCACAATGACAACGATAGGTAATACAATTTTCACATCACTGACATCAAGATTATTTTGTGATTCTGTTAATCTCACCAATGTTTTTGTGCATGATAGTCCGTGTTTTATAAACACAATATGGAGGACACACACACAATAACAGAATAAATTAGAGCTATTGTTTCTTAGTCTTTCATTGATTAAAAAATTTTTGAGTACCAGTTATGGTGAGCTGCTCACTTTGTTGCATCTGATCTCTGGAAACTTGCATCTGTGGAAATGTCTGTGTCCATTAAATGACCACGCCCTCTTTTCTTCTTTTCCCTCAAAACCAAACTTCTGGCAACTACCACTCTTTTTTTCTTTTCTATGAGATTACTTACCTAGGAGGTATCCTATAATATCTGTCTCTCTTCATGACTCATGTTTTTCACCTTAAAAATGTCTCCATCCTCTGCTAGTGTAACTCAGTTGCTAGTGTGAGCATTGTCCCATGGACTGAGAGGTCCAGTTTGATTCTAGGTCAGGGCACATTCCGGGTTAGGGGCTCGATTCCTGGTAGGGGGCGTGCAGGAGGCAGCTGATTGATGTTTCTTTTTCACATTGATGTTTCTATCTCTCTCTCCCTAAAAACAAAAAACAAAAACTAGGGCCTTCAGCCATGGCCAGGTAGCTCAGTTGGTTAGAGCGTTGACCCAATACACCAAGGTTTTGGGTTCAACTTTCAGTCAAGGCACATACAAGACTCAACCAAATGCATAAATAAGTGGAACAACAAATCGACATTTCTGTCTCTCTCTAAAATGAATAAAACTAATAAAGAAAAAAGTAGTCCAGCCAGTGTGGCTCACTGGTTGAGAGTCAACCCATGCACCAAGATGTCACCAGTTCGATTCCCTATCAGGGCACATGCCCAGGTTGTGGGCCTGATCCCCAGTGAGGGGCATGCAGGAGGCAGCCAATCAGTGTTCTCTCTCATCGATGTTTCTCTTTTCCTCTCCCTTCCTCTCTCTAAAATCAATAAAGAAAAAGCCCTGGCAGGTTTGGCTCAGTGGTTGGAGCGTCGGCCTGTGGACCAGAGTCCTGGGTTCGGTTTCCGCTAGGGGCACATACCAAAAAAAAAAAAGAGAAAATCAATAAAGAAAAAATAAAAAAGAGCTGACTTTGACAATATTAAAAAGAAAAGAATGCCCTGGCCGGTTTGGTTCAGCGGTTAGAGCATCGGCCTGCGGTCCAGAGAGACCCGAGTTCGATTCCCGCTAAGGGCACGTTCCTTGGTTGCAGTTTGTCCCCGGCCCTGGTTGGGTCATGCGGGTGTCAGCCACTTGATATGTCCCTTTCACGTCAATGTTTCTCTCTCTCTCTCGTCTTCTCTTTCCCTCCCACTCTATCTGAACAAAAATGAAAAAATGTCCTTGGGTGAGGATAAAAAAATAATAATAATAAGCAGCTGAAACAACTTTCTAGGCAGCAATGCAGAGAATGAATGGTTGCAGGTTTTAAATCCACATTTGTTAGAGAAGAAAAAGGCAGACTTCGCCTGTGACCACAGAACACTTACCTGAGAAGCAGCCATTTTTTTCCTGGTCGTGTTCCTGCCTGAAGTTATTTTCTCAGGTACTATGTTGAGGAGTTATAGAATATGCCTTTAAATGTGTCCACACAGCCCCTTAATCAGTTCACACCACACTCACGGTCAGAAGGACCTGGAAATACTGAAAAGACCACCTTCTGCTGTCCCTTGTCACAGGAGAGTCAGGAACAATGAGCTCCTCCATGTACACCAAGCTGAGAGATTGTTGCTTTTCCTCTCTTCATATGTCTGTCCTTCCAAAGATGCCCAAAAACTCCTACAGAAATGACAACATGCACTGTTTTCCTGAATGCCCAAATCTAACAGAGCACCCAGTTACCCCTCCCTGAACAAAGCCTGTTCCCCTCTCTCATAAATACATCCTGAAGCCCTCCAGGTAATCCTAGGGTTCACCTTACAGTCACTTGCAACACCTCAGTAAACAATAATGTCCCACCAAGAGCAGCTGTCCAACTGTAATGGGGAGGGCACAGTGGATGTCCTCCCAGGACGTAATAGGAACCCGGAGGGGAACAATTTAGATTTAATAAGCATGTAGATCCTTGGGGTCAGGACCCCACTCTAACTTATGGATCTGCAGGTGTGCAGTGGGACCCATGATCTGGTATCTTTTTTTTTTTTTTTAATCCTTACCTGAGGACATTTTTACATTTTTTGTTCAGGTAGAGTGGGAGGGAGAGAGAGAGAGAGAGAAACATTAACGTGAAAGGGACACATCTAGTGGCTGCCACCCGCACGACCACCCAGGGCCGGGGACAAACTGCAACCGAGGTACGTGTCCTTAGCGGGAACCAAACCCGGGTCTCTCTGGACCGTAGGCTGACGCTCTAACCACTGAGCCAAACCAGCCAGGGCTGATCTGGCATCTTTAATGAGTTCCCTCCTGGTGGCTATGCTGCTGCCCCAGAGCTGTGTTCAGTAGCACTGAGTGACAGACATCAAACCCAGCACACCTCAGACCTCTGGGTACTGTGAGGGCTTGTGGTGGGAACTTCCAGGAGGGTAGAATACCAGGGCAGATTCCTAGGGGCAGAAGTTGTCCTGGAATGGGTGTGGCCAGGTCTGTATCCACTGAGGATGAACCAATGAGAGAAATGGGCAGAGATTAACCATTTGTGCTAGGAAGGAACAGAAGCCTTTGAAACATCTCACACAGATGTTTCTCTCTCTTAAAATCAATAAAAATATTTTTAAAAATATATTTAAACCCTGGCTGGTTCGCTCAGTGGTTAGAGCATCAGCCTGCAGACTGAAGGGTTGCAGGTGTGATTCCTGGTCAAGGGCACTTACCTGGGGTTTGATCCCCAGCCCAGTCAGGGTCATGCAGGAGGCAACCAATCTGCACAACCAATCGATGTATGTCTCTCACATTGATGTTTCTCTTTTTCTCTCCCTCCCTCCCCCTTTCTCTAAAAAATCGATGGACAAAAACCCTCTGGTGAGAATTAACAAAAAAAAGTAATTAATTATAAAAGTAATAAAATTGCCCCGGCCGGTTAGAGCGTTGGCCAGAGAGACCCGGATTCGGTTCCCGCTGGCTGCGCATACCTCGGGTGCAGTTTGTCCCCGGCCCTGGTTGGTTGTGCGGGTAGCAGCCACTCAATGTGTCCCTTTCATGTCGATCTTTCTCTCTCTTTCTCTCTCTTTCTCTTCCTCTCCCTCCCTCCCACTCTATCTGAACAAAAAATAGAAAAATGACCTCGGGTAAGAAAAAAAAAAAGTAATAAACTTTAATAATATAGCCCGGTTGCTGCTGTTCAATGGTTAAGCGTCGACCCATTCAGTCACTGGTTCGATTCCTGGTCAGGACACACGCCCAGGTTGTGGGTCCAATCCCCAGTGGGGGGCATGCAGGAGGCAGCCTCCCTTCCTCTTTCTCTAAAATCAATTGAAAAAAAAACAAACTTTTAATTAAAAAAATATATATGTGTGCGCGCATATATATACATTTTTTTTTTTTTTTTTTTACAGAAAATGGACAAGAGGGTAACACCTCCTCTGTGGCTCAAAGTCACTAATTCAAGAAATCATATAAAGCCCTGGCCAGTTTGGCTCAGCGGTTAAGAGCATTGGCCTGCAGTCTGGAGAGACCTGGGTTCGGTTCCCGTAAGGGCATGTACCTCGGTTGCAGTTTGTCCCCGGCCCTGGTTGGTCGTGTGGGTGGCAGCCACTCGATGTGTCCCTTTCACATCGATGTTTCTCTCTCTCTCTCTTCCTCTCTCTCCCTCCCACTCTATCTGTACAAAAAATGGAAAAAAGTCCTCGGGTGAGGATTAAAAAAAAAAAGAAAGAAAGAAATTATATAAAGAAGCTGCTGAACATTAGACCAACTCACAGAACTAGGTTCTGACTTAAGATCATTGACATCCTTACCAAGTGCACATGGAAATAGCCTAATGTTACTGACTAAATACCAGTGGATATTTTGATATATAATAAACAGTTAAAAGGATGCAGGGCTCAGAATCTAAACTAGCCATGTTTAACATGGAAAATGATTGGGGATTTTTTTTATGTAGTGACTTTCAAGGTCAAAGTTTTAACAAGTTAGGAGCACCTCATATATCAGATAGCACCAAATCTTATTTTATTTTTTTATTCAGATAGAGCGGGAGGGAGAGAGAGAAACATCAACGTGAAAGGGATACCTTGATTGGCTGCCACCCACCCAACCCAACCAAGGCCTAAGACAAACCACAACCAAGGCACATGCCCTTAGCGGAACCCAACCCGGGTCTCTCTGGACCACAGGCCAACGTTCTAACCGCTGAGCCAAACCAGCCAGGGCACCAAATCTTATTTTAAAAGTTAACGACTATTTAGAAAAAAGCAGATATTTAACAGACTAAGATTTATCTCATTATATATATTTTTTAATAATTAAATGTGATAGGAAAAAGTGAACCCAATGGAGCAAAAAAAAAAGATGACTCAACACTTTTGATATTCCTTGAAAAAGCATCATGTGGTGACAAACTCAGTCATTTCTTGTTGCAGGTCACCTCTCTTTTACTGTCCCAGGAAATGAAAAGGGACACATGGCTGACAAACAAGTCTTTCCCCTCTGAAAGAATAGGGGCGGTAAACAGAAGCTTTCTGGTAATGCAAATAATTATGCACAAACCTTATGAACAGAAGATTTGTAATTCGAATTCAACTCTGTTAAACTGAAACAATTCAGCAAATGTTAAACTAAACAGATTATAAAGCCATGAGCAGATATGTTCCAACTTCCTCACCCAGACCCCAGCAGCTCAGCAGTCACCCAGATCCAGTCCCGGGCTCCCAGCTCCTGTGTGTTTCTGTCTGCAGATCTGTCTGCCTCCCTGTTCCCCTCTCTGCACTGCTGTCCTTTCCTGTTTCCCTCCCCGTCCCCGGCTCCTTCTCCCCTTTTCTCTATTCCTGTCCCAGCGCCTGCCCCGCACACTCTGGAAACCTCCCCGCCGTCAGGGGCTCCCCGCCTCTTTCTGAGACCCCTGCCCGGCCCGTGCCCTGTGCCCGTCCTGCCCGTCCCCACAGCGGGCTGCCTCTCAGCGCTGTGTCTCCCTCGGCCCGTCACCCCTGAACCCCTTTCCGCCCCTGCACTCGCTCCCCAACTCTTCCCCTCAGGACCACGCTCTCCGTCCTCGGGGCCCGTCCTGTCGCCCCCACTTCGGCTCCCCAGGCCGCTCCCGACAGCCCTGGGCTCCCCTCAGGGTGCCCTCTCCCGGAGAGTCTCACTGTCCCCCGCTCCTCCCCGAGGCCTCTCCCACCCCGTCCGCTCTCGGCCTCAGGACCGTCCCCCACGTGCCGTCTGTCCGTCCGGCTCCCGCCCCTCCGCAGCCGCCGCCGCCACAGCGCGCTCCCCGCGGCGGGTCCTCTCCGGGGGCCGCGTCTCCCGGCTCAGTCCCCCCAGGGCGCCCGCGCTGTCAGAATATTCGGGTCTCTGACTGAAATTAGACGGTGGGAGAGGGGTGGGGGGAGACCCTGCAAATGCCCACGCGGGGGGCGGTCCAGACTCTCCCGGACAAGAGTGCAGACGCGGGGGAGGGGCGCGCATGTTAGGACTCCATCCCCGGGGCAGTGCCGGAGCGGGGAGGGAGCCCTGCCCTGGGAAGGGCTCTAAGCAGGAAAACCACCCAGCAGGCGGCTTCCAAAGGCCCGAAGGCGGACAGACCATGGGCGGGACAGACCTCAGTGTTTCCCCGGACACCAACCACCCCGGACCCTCCACGGGCCGCGAAGCGCGCAGGGAGCCACGCGGTCACGGCGAAGGGCGTAGACACTTCTGGTGGGGACTCCGGCCTCACCGCTGGAGGAGCAGGTGCGGAGATTTCCACGCCGATAGTGACCCTTAGGCTTCACGTGTGTGGGAATGTGGACAAGTCTAAAACATAAAGACTGAAATTCGGGGGCCTGTGTAGCCCTTCCACAGCCAAAGCCGCTTCCGGGTCTGTAAGAAACTGCGCAGGCGCGCTGCCTGGAAGGCGGGAGTAGAGGCGTAGCAGGCCGCGTGCCTCCAGCAGTGGGCGTGGCGTCAGTCCGAGGGCGTCAGCCTATGGGAAGCAGGATGGGAGGTGTGGCGGCGACTCGTGGGCGGGGCCAGGCTGCTGCTTCTCACCGCGTGTCTATTTTCACAGTTATGGAACCTGTTGTATTTCCCTTGCGTCCCGTGGAGCAAGGCGCCTTCCCGCCTATTTTAAATTGATGTTTCCGACAGTTTGAAGTAAATGCTTAGAGTTGTGTGCGCCCCCTAAATTGAAAGCTAGATGTCTCCGTTTTAACTGGTGAAGACTGTTTTCGCTAAAATGGGAGAAGGTTCAACCCAGGACAATGCCTCACCTGCAGTTAGAATTCAATTCATTGCAGCATTATTTTTTTATTATTATTTTTTGGTATATGCCCCTAGCGGGAACGAACCCAGAACTTTCTGGTCCGCAGGCGGATGATCCAACCACTGAGCCAAACCGGCCTGGGCCATTGCAGCATTATTTACAATAGTCAAGATGTGGTAGAAGCCCAACTGAGCATGAGAGGATGACTGGATAAAAAAGCTCTGGTACAGCCCAGCAGGTGTGGTTCAGTGGACTGAGCCTCCTCCCATGGACTGAGAGGTCCATGTTTGATTCCAGGTCTGGGCACAACCCGGGTTGAGGGCTCGATCTCCAGTAGGGAGCTTGCAGGAAGCAGCTGATTGATATTTCTTTCTCACATCAATATTTCTGTATTTTCCTCTCTCTAAAAAACATCAATAAAGACATTTAAAGAAAATGCTGTGGTACATTTACACAATGGAATACTGTCTTACCCTTTGTGACAGCATGGAGGGACCTGCAGAATGTTATGCTAAGTGAAATAGGTCAATGAGAGAAAGACAAATGCCATATGATTTCACTTATATGTAGATGTAGAATCTAATAAATAAAATAAACTAACCAACAAAATAGAAACAGACTCACAGATACAAAGAACAGTCTGACAGCTGTCAGAGGGGAGGGGTTGAAAGGGCTGGATGAAAAAGGTGAAGGGATCAACCAAAAACAACCAACCAAGAAACAAAAAACACCCTATTGACAACAGTATGATTTCCAGAGGAAAAGTAGGGTGGAGGTAGGTAGGAGAGGGTAAAGAGGGGATTAATGGTGATAAAAGGACAGACTTGACTTGGGGTGATAAATGACCCTTTCACAGGGGTCGCCTAAGACCATCGGAAAACGCATATTTCTGATGGTCTTAGGAACCAAGACACTGCTCCTCTATCCTTCTCCAGGCTCGTCCGCCCACATGCAGATACGCCCACATACAACATGAGGAACTGTATTAAAGGGTTGTGGCATTAGGAAGGTTGAGAACCACTGTATTAGAGAATTTTACACTTGAAACCTATATAATTTTATTAACTAATGTCACCCCAATAAGTTCCATTTTAAAAGTTTCATAAAAAATAATAAAATAAGTAAGAAGAGTTTCATTAAGCAAGTGTGCAGTTGTGCAGGGGTGCAAACTTTCATGTGAAAATCAAATTAGCCTAAGACGTAATAATTTAGGGTCACCATTTTGTTTATAAAGCAACGCAATAACTTTTGAGGTTTTTCTTTATTGATTTGAGAGAGAGTGATAGAAACATTGATGAGAGAGAACATTGACTGGCCGCCTCCTGCATGCCCCACACCAGGGACTGGGCCCACAACCTAGGCATGTGCCTGACCGGGAATCGAACTGGCAACCTCTTCGTGCATGGATTGAGGCTCCACCACTGAGCCATACTGGCCCAGCTACACTATACTTTTTAAATTTCTCTTTGGAATTTATTTCCAGATATTTAATAACGTCACCAAACAGAAAACAGCCCAGAGCAGGTCTGCCTCTGGCAGGCCGTAGAGTGTGGGTAGTTGATTTCATGCAGGAAAGATTTTACAATGCAATTCCAGGTAATTTTGAGAGTATGTTTATTAAAGCTGTGGATAGAGGAAACATGGGTGGGCTTATGATAGAAGCAGCAACAAGAGAAAGACTAGGCAGGGCTGCTTTCGCTCTTTAGAAATGTTATAGGAAAGAAATGAGTCTAGGCAGGGCTGCTGTCTGCTCACTGGAAAGCCAGAGAAAATGGGGCCTTGGAGACAGGTTCAGGGGTAAACCCAGGAGGAGCTGCCACTACCAATTGCTCCCCTGGTTGGAAGTCTCATGGGGTCTCTTAGAGTTTAAGAAATGTGTGCCAGTGTCTGGCTGGTGTGCCTCAGTGGTTGAGCATCGACCACTGCATGCATCAAGAGGTCCCCAGTTTGATTCCAGGTCGGGACACCTGCCCAGGTTGTGGGCCCAATAAACAGTGGGGAACATGCAGGAGGCGGCCAATTGATGTTCTCTCTCATCGATGTTTCTATCTCTATCTCCCTCTCACTTCCTCTTTCTCTAAAATCAATTAAGGAAAAAAAACTTATGAAAAAAAAAGAGATGTGTGCTAGTGGGGGAAGAAGAGGGAAAAGGAAAAGGGGGAGGGAGAGCGCACGATGCATCCTTCATCTTGAGGGTTTATAAATTTGTTTTTATTGATTTGAGAGAGGAAGGGATAGGGAGAGAGAGATGGAAACATCAGTGAGAAAAAACATGAACTGGCCACCTCCTGCATGCCCCGCACTGGGGATTCAGCCCACAACCTGGGCATGTACCCTGACTGGGAATTGAACCGGCAACCTCCTGGAGCATGCGTTGACGCTCAACCACTGAGCCACACCAGCCGGGCCATCTTGAGGGTTTTAAAGTCTGAGAGTTTAGGGGAGGATAAATAAATATTCATCAGCTTTTCTAGGTGGTTTGGAGCGATGGTGCTTGGTGGTGGTGGTTTTTCACTGAGACATAATTCACACACAATAAAGTTTGTAGCATAGAATTCAGTGGCTTTTAGTATATTTAAAAGTTGTGCAAACATCTCCACCAATTCCAGGATATATCATCATCCCAAAAGGAAACCAATATCCATTAAGCAGTCACTTACCATTGCCCCATCCTGCCCCAGCCTCTAATCTACACCATCTCTACAGATTTGCCTGTTCTGGACATTTCACATAAATGGAGTCCTATAATACGTAGCCTTTTGTGTCTGGCTTCTCAAACATAATGTCTTCCAAGTTCATCCATGTTATAGCATGTAACAATACTTCACTCATTTTTTTTTTTAATCCGCACTCGAGGACTTTTTTTTTGCATTTATCTTCAGATAAAGCAAGAGGGAGAAAGGGAGGAAGAGAGAGAGAAACATCGATATGAAAGAGACACATCGACTGGCTGCCACCCAACTCATTTTTTTTTAAATCCTCACTCGAGGACTTTTTTTTTGCATTTATCTTCAATAGAGCAAGAGGGAGAAAGGGAGGAAGAGAGAGAGAAACATCGATATGAAAGAGACACATCGACTGGCTGCCACCCACACAACCCCAACTAGGGCCGGGGACGAACTGCAACCAATATACATGCCCTTAGCGGGAACCGAACTGGGGACTCTTGTCTGTGGGCCAATGCTCTAACCGCTGAGCCAAACTGGCCAGAGCTTCACTCATTTTTATAGTTAATATTCATTATATGCATACACTACATTCTATATTTTGATTCATCGGTTGATGGATATTTGGTTATTATGAACAATGTTGTTACGAATATTTGCACAAGTTCTGTGTCCCCATGTTTTCAAATCTCTTGGGTATATACCTAGGAGTGGAACTGCTGTGCAAAATGGTAACTCAGTGGGACTGCCAGAATTGTTTCCAAATGGAGTACATTGTTTTACATTCCCATCACATCAGCATTGTGAGGATTCCAGTATCTCCACATCCTCACCAACAGTTTCTCTCTGCAATACAAATGATTGTTGTATATTGACCTTGTATCCTGCAATCTTGCTGAACTTAATAGTTCAATTTCTTTTTTTTTTATCCTGACCGGAGGACATTTTTCCATTCTTTGTTCAGATAGAGCGGGAGGGAGAGAGAGGGAAAGAGAGAAACATCGACGTGAAAGGGACACATCGAGTGGCTGCCACCTGCATGACCAACCAGGGCCGGGGACAAACTGCAACAGAGGTACGTGCCTTTAGCGGGAACCGAACCCGGGTCTCTCTGGACTGCAAGCGGATGCTCTAACTGCTGAGCCAAACCGGCCAGGGCACTAGCTCAATTTCTTTTCAGTGGATTTCCTATATACAAGATCATGTCATCTGCAAATAGTTTGTTTTTTCTTCCAGTCTGCATGCCTTTTCTTTTTGTCTAATTAGTCTGGCAGGAACTTCCAGTACAATGTTGGTGCATGGATCGCAGCTCAACCAGAGCCACACCGGCCTAACTCCAGTAGGATGTTGAATAGAAATGTCAGGAGTAAACATCTTTGTCTTGTTCCTGATCTTAACTGGAAAGTCCCCAGTCTTTCATCATTAGGTATGGTGTTACCTGCAGGGAATTTTTGCAGATGCCTTTTATCAGGTTAAAAAAGTTCCCTCTGGTGCTCTTTGTTGAGTGTATTTATCACCAAAGGGTGTTAGATTTTTTCAAATGCTTTTTCTGCACCAGTTGAGATGGTCACGTGGGTTTTGTTTTTTATTCTATGGATATAGTGTATTACATTTGCTTTTTCTGATGTTAAACTAACCTTGAATGCTCGGGATAAATTCCACTTGGTCATGATGTGTTCATGAGATAATGGTCTACAGACTGCTTTCATTTGTTTTTGTCTGGTCTTAGTATCAGGGTAATGCTGACCTCGGAATCAGTTGGGAAGTATACACGCCCCCCCCCCACTTTTACTTGGAAGAGTTTGTGAAGAATTAGTATTCCTTAAATGTTTTGGCAGAATTCAGTGAAGTCATCTGGGCCTGGAATTTTTGCTGTGCATAGCTTTTTTATAACTAAATCAATGTATTCTTAGCACGTAACTATT